CCTAAGACCACCCTTACTAGTAATATCAAGGAATCAACGCCTAACACCAAAAAACGTTCTAAGCGTAGCTAAACGTTAACCAGGTTCATCGAAAAACTCGATGAAATGCTAAAACCGGTAAAGCTAACCCTTGATGACACAAAAAATAACTTCATCCTTAATTATTACCAATTCAAGAGTCTCTTTGAAAACGCGTGCAGACAATCCGATCGATATTATCAAAGACACTCAAGATACTAAGGCACTCCACATGATCGAAACAATCCACCTCTTACTCAAAGACAGAAGCCTGAAAAACAGAATACGACGGCTAGCTAAAAAACTAACACAAGACCATTATAGCTGCGAAAAACGACTCTTCAACTGCCGTTCATTCCCCGAATTGTTTCTCAGACTCTGAAAACGATTCTCCATAAAATCCTTTCATAAACTAAAAACTCAAAATATGCCAATAAAAATTATTCAGTGGAATCTAAACGGATTCTATAGCCAATTAGAATACTTACAAGATAACTACTAATACATAAGAAACGACCAGAAATCATTTGCTTACAAGAAACTAACTTTAAAGGATTAAGCTTCGGCAAAAACTACAAAGCTTTCACCAAAAATCGCACCACTGACTACGCTAGTGGTGAAGTAGCTATTTACATCAAGGACACCATTCACAGCCAAGCGATCACATCCAACCTTGAAGTTGTGGCTACAAGAGTTATGCTACCTACAAACTTACATATATGTAATATCTACCTGCCTCACAGTCAACATCTTGATGAAGATGAACTTACCGAATTTTTTTCCAATTACCAAAACCATTCATCATCACGGGAGATTTCAATAGCCATAATATTTTATGGGGATCCCACAAAACAGATACAAGAGGAGCTACTATAGCGAAACTAATAACCGAATTAAATTGCGATCACATTAAATGTTGAAGTTGTGGCTACAAGAATTATGCTACCTACAAACCTACATATATGTAATATCTACCTGCCTAACAGCTAACATCTTGATGAAGATGAAGTTACCCGAATTTTTAGCCAATTACCAAAACCATTCATCATCTTGGAAGACTTCAATAGCCATAATATTTTATGAGGATCCTAAACCTACCAAACACCAACAAACCAACCCATTCAACGACCGCATCCGTCCACCTTAGTGCAATTGACCTAACTCTCTGCAACTCGAGAATTGCTCAAAACATTTCTTGGAATATGGAAAGTAGTCTATTCGATAATGACCATTTCCCGATCAAGATCACATACCATACTAGCTACTGCCATAATACCTACAAAACCCTCAAGGTGGAAATTTGAAAAAGCCAAATTGAAATTGGACAACTTATCGCGAGTCTGTATCATTTTCCATTTCTCATTATATTGAGCCAAATCCGATCCAATCAGCCTCCGCTGACTTAGCCATTCCCAAAACCAAAACTATATTACCTCAAGCAACTCAAAATCCAAACTCACTCCATGATGGAATGAACAGTGTTCTGAAGCGGCCAAAAACTATAAGCCCACCTACAATTGATACAAAAAACACAACTCTCAAGAAAACCTTATTAACTTTAAAAAGTACAGAGCATTATCCCGAAAAATCATTAAAGACAGCAAAAAACAGTCATGATTAAGGTATACTTCATCCCTTAACTTATCCACCCCAACTACAGAAGTATGGGAAAAAATCAAGTCAATCAAAGGAAACAAAACATACCACACAATCCTTACCCTAAAAGAAGACAATTCCCCCACCACAGATCCAGCGAAGATGTCAAAAATACTAGCATCCATATTCCAGCAAACCTCTAGCAACAACAACCATACAAAAATATTCCAGAAGTATAAACTAGAAACCGAGACCAAACCACCATTATTGTCAAATATTGAACCCAAAACTAATTCACAGTCAATAGTGAACCTATCTCCGCCCAAGAACTAATGTACTTCTTAAGTAAATGTGGTAATACCAGCCCTGAACCCGACGGCATTCCAAACATTCTCCTAATCAAACTGCCACAAAACGCTATACTCTCAATATTTAACTGCATCATGATGTTTTTAATAAATATGGAACAAAGCAATAATAATTCCTATCCTAGAACCAACTCTAAATCGGTAGTGATAACATTCAGCAAACGTAGACACACCAAGCCTCAAAGGACAAGAACTAAAAGAGATATCTATAATCAAGCTACGAGGCCTAACTTTTGACTCCCGACGAATGTAGAAACCGCACATAAACAAACTTCGATCGGAATGCTACCAACGTCTCAACATCCTGCAAACAATTGCAGCAAACAACTAGGATGCAAATATGAACACCCTGCTACTAACATACAGAACAATAGTAAGAACTAAGATAGACTATGGATTTATTGTGTACAAATCTGCAAGCCACCAAACACTCAAAAACCTCGACCCCATACCATGCAACTAGGATAGCAGTGGGAATATCCCGAACCAGCCCAATTATTGACATCCTGAACAAAGCAATGGAAGAGCCTCTAAGAATTGGAAGAACGCATATAAGCATCAAGTTCGCTGCTAAAATCTCTAGCACTTCTCAGTACCCTGTGTTCTTAAACACCTTTCGACAAAACGCAGCCACCATCACACACCCGATAAAGAAAACCGCACTCCCATTCTACAATAGAATTTCCCAATACGAACATGACCTCAACACCAAGGTTATCTTGGCAAGTTCCACCTAGAAACCCCTAGAATTACAATCAATACTAATTTAGGCAAACATGACAAAAAACAAACCAACCCTAACACATTTAAATTCTTGTTCTGGGAACTATCCCAAAGATACCAAAACCATACACATATTTATACAGATGGCTCAAAAACCCAAAACATCACTGGTTACTCGATCGTCTCCGAACACTCAACCATAAAAGCCAAGCTTTACCAAGACGCATCCATCTGACCGCTGAATTTAACATACTAAAACATACTCTCGAAACCACAATAAAAAATACCACAATAAAAAATTCGCTATCTTCAGTGACTCCACAAATGCTATCGCTTCAATTTTAAACGAATGGACAAACAGTACAACCATCCACGAATGCCAAAACGCCTACATTTAATCAATAAAAAACAATAACTCTATTATAGTAATATGGGTCCCATCCCACACAGGAATTAAAATGAACGAGAGAGCGGACAACGGTAGGGAAGCAGCGAACTCGATAATCCCCTATCACAACATAACACTCGACTCTTTAATTGTCCACCTAAAGCAAAAAAGCAAACACCATTGGAACAACGAATGGAAAACCTTAGTGAAACCACGACTGCTAACCATAAAAATTGATTTTTACAAGAACGTAATACCACCCACTCTAAAAAGACGTGACCAAATCGTAATATCATGAATAATAATCGGACATACGAAAATAACACACACATATACATTCTGCGAACGGTGCAAGACGATCCTAACCATCTCATACTACAATGCGAAGTATACCTACTGCTAAGAAAGCAACTCAGCATCAAGCCCACCCTAAAAAACAACCTAATGGACAGGTGAAACATCATCAAGCCTGCTACAATATCTGAAACACACCAAGATCTACAACAACATATAAAAAATCCCTCCTTCTGATGTTAATAATCCATGAAGTTCATGCGACATAAAATAATTGATTTAAAAAAAATATTTCATTTGTGACGAAGATATAATTTTGACTGAAACAGCAAATAAAAATTATGAGGATGTATTTTTGTATCAGAACTAAAAAATAAGACAAATTAATAATCAACAAAAAGAATATAGTTCTTAAATATCGATGCAATCTCGTAATTTTCTTAATATCAGAAAAACGGTTATTTGACTTAAAAATTATATTACTTGAATATTTTTGAATCTTTATTTTCTCTATTAATTTGAAGTTTTATTCAAATAATATAATTAGCAAAGAAAAAAAATTGTTTATGAATTACTATAATAATAAAACAAAATAAACAATGTATTATGATTACGTGCGTTTTCTAAAAATCATTGTATTGACAAAAGACAAAGAAATAAGTAATTTTTAGCATTCCTTAAATATCACTTTCCTTAAATATACTTTCCTTAAATGATTAACTCAAAATATTAAAAAGCAAAGAAAAGTTGCAGTTAGCGTTACTGTATTTTAAAAAATGAACAAAATGACTCTCGAATCAAAGCGATATTGCTAAAAATATTCGAGTAAAAATACAGTTTAAGATGATAACGGGGAAGTAATTCATTTTCTTAAATTACCACCTGTTCGAGAATGAAACGTTCAGGAGTCAAAGCTCTTACACGTTTGAAAATATAAAATGTTTTATACATAAATTTTATAAATGTGTACTATTATAATGTAAAGACACCATGATACATAGATATTTAAAAAAAATAAAATAGACAAAACAAATATACGACAAGAAAAATTGGATGAAAGAAAAATGTTAGATTTCAACACTTTTTGTTATTAAACTTCGTATACAAAAGTTTACAATTGATAATTTTGATTTTCAGAAACGTTCGATTGACAATAGATTGAAACAACTCTTGAAGAACTTTTGAATTTTAACATAGAACGATGATTTAGAAAAATAAGAAAAATTGTAGCATAAAGATTTGATTGAATATAGTGATACGTAAAAAAAAAAAAAAAAAAAAAAAATAGGAATATGTAGGTGAGCAATAGGTAGAAAATGAAATCATTATTTCTTTATTGAAAATTTGTTATTAGCGGATAATTGTTTAGGATGAAGAAAGAACAGGATATTTACGACTAATTCTTAAATTATACAGTGTTAATATATAACAAAAATATATAGCATTAAGATTAATAAAATGTATAAATTGAAACAATAACTGAGCGATTATATATAACAAATGCAAAAATGTCATGCAGTTTCTAATTAAGTAACAAGAAGCGAGGAAAAGAGATGAAGGAAACTGAAGATGATCATCATGAGAATAAAGAAACAAAATCGATTCGAACATACCTTATACATAACGCAGCATTTCATGTCTGGCTGTGATCCGTCAACTGGAAACGACGCAGTTTACATGAGGAATCGAGGCAAAGTGTCTGAGATATAAATAGCTAAGCCACATGTATGTAATATAGCCTATATGATAATATCGATAAATTGATGTTTATTAAATTCTTGTTTACGGAATTCTCTAAACATCAACTGTTATTGATGAAAGTATTTAACTTTCAGAGACTTTTAAAGTCTTCCACATTTTTAATATTCTGATATACATGGTGGGATATTTTTAATCTACTTTGAGAAATTAAAATAACTGGAAATGCAGAGTTTTATGTTATGTTGCACTCAGTTTCATTAGTTAAAAACTTTCCTAAATTTATACGTTTACTTTACATTACTGTTTAACGACTATAATTTTAGTTTTATAATTTTATTAAAATGAAATTCTTGTGCAATTTGAAACATTTTTTACTATAAAAAATTTATATTGCAAAGAATTAAATAAATCTGAAGTATTTTAAGATAGAGTTTCATATTTGTTAAAATCGAATTGAAATAATGAATTTTATTTTCAGTTTATTTTTTCTTATTAATTTTACTGTCGAGACTTATAATTAGTCCGAATATTAGAAAAATTTATAAGTAGTTACACATACGATAAAGGAATTTATTTTATAAAGAACGAAATGATCAGCAAAGAAAAGCAGTCTCATTAAACGATGGAATTTACATGAAAAATTCTAGTAAAAAATGAAAATAGCTTTGACATAGATGCAAAGATAGTTCACGTTCTCCAACGAGAAAAATATGATTATATCGATAAATCGATATAAAGCACCAATATACATATATTTTGTTCTTTCCATCATATCAGTATTAATATTTTCTTCTACTGTTTTTGGAAATTTGGAAATATAAAATTCAGTTACCGGAATTATTAAAATATGGTGAACTTAATTTAAATTTTAAGAGTTTCTCTTTACATGTCTGTGGTAACACTTGTGAATAGTAACTTCTTAGAAATAATCTTATTTTGACAGATTATTTGTTACATTCACATTTAGTATACCTATACCTATATATGTTTTTTAATTAATGAATCATGTTTGTTAAAAATTGGTAATATTAAAAATTTACAAATTTACGAAAAAATATAAATTTATAAATGGTTTAGTCAAAAATTATATGTAAGCAAACTTTTTACGAGAAAATACAAAGATATATAACAATCATAATAAAATATTTATTTAAAACATTTTTGGAGTTTTTAATAAAATCAAATTGTAATCTGCTTTATATGCAGTTATAATTAAATTGCTAATTTTTAAGCATTTATAGAATATTTTAAAACTCAAAATTGCACGGAATGTACAGCTGCTCACATTAATATTCAATTACTAAATGTGTAATATTTACAATTTCGTAAAACAAAATTGTAGAACAATAAACCTGAATTTATTTTAAAGTTTGAAGCCTTTTCTTTCGAAATGCATAATTTATTTTGTTCTGAGATAGTTTTACATTACGTAGCAAATAGAATTTTCTTCTTCTAAAATGTTATAAATTGTTATAAGATTGTAATACATTGAGCAATGTGAAAACATTGAATAATTTTTTTTTATGACTGAATCTACAATGAATTTGAAGATTGAAACCTCTTTTCTATAATGATTTCCTGAAATTGATTGTTTTTTACTATTTTATTGAATTTTGAATACATTAGAATACAATAACATTAGAATGAATATTACGACGAGAATGTTACGATTTGTTGAATTTTTGTCGCCTAAATTTAGTATTTTCGTCGTTTAAATTTATTTGTTTCATTGTATGATTTTATCTTATGAAATTGTAACATTTCAAATATTTTGTATTCGAATATTTAAATGTCAGAATATTAATGTGCGCCACTGTATATAGCATAGTATGAAAAAGTAATTAAAATATGTAAAGTGTCTTTCTAAATTATATTTTCCAAATATTAATTTGCATTAGAATTTGCAATTATAATTAAGGTTTAAAATAATACGGTTGGAAAAGATTTGAAAGATTTGGAAGAAATGAAGGACATATAATACTTCGTGTTTTCATAATAATATGAAATATTTGAATGAATAAATTAAGAAAACATAAAGCAAATATTTTATCAATCAATTTTAATATATTACGTACAAAGTTGTTGCTTTCATTACTGCATTCAAAACTATGCTTATCTGTTAATTATCGATATACATACTCTTATTAACCCTTATTTTAATCCTATATTATCAAACCTTTAATTAATACCTTGTACTAGTTGGTCCAAATTTTCAATATCTTCATCGCAAATTGTAGCCTTACTACAAACTCACAAATAAGATTTTCTGCAATAATAACAGCAGATAAATCGCTATTACCATTGACTATTAGTCAATACTATTACAGACACCGAAAATGAGGGCTATAATAAGAAATTTTCCATTCTTGTATTCTATTATTATAATTGTTCGAGAAAAATTGCAACTTACATAAATAAAATTATAACTTACACAAATAAAATATTTAAAAAATATCGTATAGACAAATATCTACGATAAGTTCTGTTTTTATTCCGATTGAAAATTTATTTCAATTCCAAATTTTAAATAAAAGAACCTTTATTGTTTATTTTTTCGTACGATTGTGTAACGAATTATAAATTGTTTTTATATAATTTCTAACCGCATTATATATACTGCTAATTTTTCGTTTTACATATGTAAATTGAGACTAGCTATCTCTTATAGATATTAGGCCGCAAGTCAAAACAAATGTACTATTTAATCGAACGAAGTTAAAGTTTCTGAAAGAAATTAGGATTAACAAGTGGAAGTTAAAGGGACTAATATTCAATAGCCGATAATATTCAATACCCAATTGTAATATTGCGGATTTTTATACACATAAAAATTTCACATTTTTATAAACATAATTTAAAAAAATCGAGCGTAATTATAAAAAAAAAGTGAACATTATTTTCTGTCGATTATATCCATTCTATGAAAACATAAATGCTTAAAGAAGAATGTATATAATATTCTTAAAAATTTTAATATAAGAAAAGCCATCGAAAATAGTTTGAATATGTCAATTTTATATAATAACTTTGAAAAACTTATAATGAAAGATAATTTATTATTTATAACACCTCATTTCTTCGCTGATCGAACTTTCATTAATTTAAAGATTGACTTATTGTTAAATGATTTTTAATTTCAAGAAGCTGTAAAAATTTCCTTTGTTCTTAATAATTTCTAGAAAATTACTTGAAAGTTCTCATTTTTCGGTCATTATTACTAAAATAGCATAGCATTAATGGTTGAATAACGAAAACTTTTAAAAAAATTTATTTTTGATATAAGATTTCGTGAATTAAATATAGACGTGCATTTTTAAAAATTTCAAAAATTTACAAAGTGTATTATGTAAAAGTATATAATACACTTATATATACTAAAATATTTCTAATTAGAATTAATTTTCTTATTTATGTTCATAAAAATTGAAAAAATATGATTATAAAATTGTGTAAATATTTGCAGTTCAGCTATTAAAAATAGTTAAAAACTAAATTGAACTAGTTTTTATAGCTTCTTAAAATTATAATATACAATTATTATTTAACCTTATTATTAATTAATCTTTAAGAAAATCATTAAAAAATGACATGACTTTTTCAAAGTTATATATGAAATTGATATATTCAAATTATTTTCATTGTTTTATATATTTTTTACATCATTTTTAAGAATATTTTATATAGAGCTCCTTATGCATTTACTTTTTTAACAAAAATTAATGATTATATTTGTTGAAAAATAATTTTAAATAGTTAACAAAATATAATGGAGAATACTGTATTTTAGATACTAAATATTCAAGTAATTATTCAAGTATTTATTCAAGTATTCAAGTATAACGTAGAATACTATATGTCAAATACTAAATATTCAAATTTTCTATATTTTATATATTTTTACATATTGTGTGTATCATACGCATTTTTTAAATTTTCCATAGTTTTGTAATATAAGATTTCTGTGATCCTGCTTTAAATTAATTAAAGGAAATGAAGGAGAGTCCCTATATATGGCCATAGAATAATAGAGACTAACTACCTTGGTTACACAGTATTATCTTCACTTAAAACATGTTATATTTCAAATAAAAACAAACTAAAAAATTCTACGAAAAACTGCATCTTAAACATATTATTTTCGTTAGTTACACGAAACGATAAGTGAACTAGAATAAAGAAAGGGATAGAAGAAAATACTTTTTATACTTTATACTTTTTTCAAATAAAACCTCTTTATTTTAATCATAGATTCACTGTTCTTAAGAAATTACAATAAATTATTACGTAATAACATCATGTTAATATTTTCATTCTTTTAATAAACACTTCTGTTCTTGTAATTTTTTCCAGAGTTAATTTCATATTTTTAAATTTTCTGCTGTAGATGCGTCTTAAAATCGAAAAGTATGAAATATGAAAATGGTTACAAAAGATGAGTTACTTAAAATTTTCCATATAATAAAACATAAATGAGAAATTTTATTATATATATTGTATTTCATATTTATTATATAATTATATAATATATTTATATATATATAATTTTATATTAAAATATTAAATGCAGATGAAGACATATTAGTTCTAACTACCAAGTACTAAGTGTAGGTACAATGTTTAAATTTAAATGAATAGAATACGTTTATTTATTTAATAAAAGTACTTTTTATAATTTGCGAAACTAAAATGGAACTTAAATCATTATTATACAAAATATCAATTACAAAAATCTGTTAAAAAATTTTATTATTTAAACAAGCATTGTTCGTCTTAATGATAACAATTTATTTCATATTTCTAAACTAAAGTAAGTATTAATTAAAACTCCAATTACATAAATTCATTTAAGAGACACATTATTTTAAAAGAATTGAATAAATATAGTTGTATTGATTAATTTGAAGCTGTAATAATCATATAAATATATTGAAACGAAATATGAATGGTTCAATACAAAAGGAATGGTTCTCTGTTGTTTTTG